AAAAAAAAAAAAAAAAAAAAAAATTTAAAAAACAACTGCCTAGAAATGATAAAATAGCATAGGTCTATTATAATATTTCAATAAAAATCACATATGGATATTTATATACTCCAACACACTAGCCTCCTGGCTCTAATTATTTGCATGTCTTTAAGCAAGTTATTTAAATTTCCCTAGACGTTTCCTCAACTGGAAAATGGGTATAATCAAGAACACCTACTACACAGGCACTGGTTACATGGATTAAGTAATGTCCATATGAAAAAGTTTAAATAGTGTCTCCTGCTTAGTAAACACTCAGTAAATGTCAGTAGTCGTTTTATTATCACCACGATTAGTATAGAGCTGTCATTCTCAGACCTGTTCAAGCTGCATGACCTCAAATGGAAGGTGCTGTCAACATCATCAATATTAATTTTCTCCTTATAATATATGATTAAGTTGGGGCACCTTGGCGGCTCAGTCGGCTAAGCGTCCGACTCCAGCTCAGGTCACGATCTCGCGGTCCGTGAGTTCAAGCCTTGCGTCGGAGCCTGCTTCCGATTCTGTGTCTCCCTCTCTCTCTGCCCCTCCCCCGTTCATGCTCTGTCTCTCTCTGTCTCAAAAATAAATAAACGTTAAAAAATTTTTTTTAAAAATATATGATTAAGTTGTATTTTTCAATTTATATTGTGCCCATTTGAAGTTAGGGAAGATTCAGCACAAATCACTAGTCACCACTTCATTAAATCCTCACAACATCGACATCTAGAAACAGGGGAGCTATTGTCTTCATTATACAGGTAAACCTCAGTTTCAGCTGAAGTGTAGGAAGTAAATCGATTTGCCAAAAGTAACACAGCTAATAACCAGCAGCGGCAGGATTTAAAGCTGCTCTACCTCCTCCTTCAGGGCTCTTTCCCTTCTTTCAGCCTTTCCTAAAACAGCAACCTCATAATAGTTCATTTGAATCAACAAATGTGACCCTAAATGGGTTAGCAGAAAGACCACAAACGAGAAGAATGAAACATGAACCTGGATTCACTGCCATTGTGTAGATACAAATACAGGCCGCTCTATACATATCTTATAGCTCTGGTTTGAGTCTTTATAGACACGCCACCATACCCTACCTCCCCCTCCACCCCCCACATCCCAGCCACACATACACAGGGCACAGTGCTGTGCACAGAGCTGGTACTCAAGGACTATAGGAGACAGATACATGTATGGAACTTCATCTCTACCATATAACACAACACGAGCAAATGGCTCTGGAAAGGCCAAAGTATTTATCTAAATAATCCTCTTAAATATTTTTTTTTTAAAGAGAACCTTAGCTTGAAAATCTTGTCAGATGAGATTAAAACTATTTTTAACATTCTTGTTCAGATACATTTCTTAATTCTCCATGTCACTTGCATGCATATAAAGAGAATAAAAGATTAAATTAAACTAAATAAGTTCTTTAAATATATAAATCTCTGCTCAGAGGGTAAGAAGAAGGATTCAATTAACAAAAATTCAAAAAATCAAGGTAAGCTTTATAAAGGATTATCATCCTTGTTCATCTTATTGTTATATGACAAGCAATCTTCCACTCTTAATTAATCTGAATACCTTTTGACTATTATTATTTGTTATCTATCTAGAAAGGAAGGAAAAGGAATATGAGCTGGGAATAAAAAGCCTTTTATCAGAACACAGGAGACTATTAAACATAATATACATTGCATTCACAATGATTATTAAAACAAAGCAAAACAAAACAAAAACTACTGATGACAAAACCAGAATGGAATTGTCACTGGGTGATGTTGCTTTTTTAGTCCTAATGTTAGAACAGGGGACGAACTAATTCCGTGAGCTAGCTTTATCTAATCCTGCACCGTCCTTCACTGAGGGTGCCATGTTCAGTGACTACGGCATTGACCACACCGCTGTGGGATTCCATAGTGAAACACCCCAGGTCCAACTGAAACCTTTATTTTTCCACAAGTAGTTTTATGTCTAGCCTATGCCTCCAGCAGTGTCCAACAGATAGCCAATATGATTCAATATGCATCAATTCCTACCTGGCTCAGCACTGTACTAATGCCCCTATAACTACAGGGGTCAAAATGGCACCTCTGGAAGAAAATGGAATGGTCCAGACAGCTCTGTTCCCCTAGTCTGGCTGGGACAGGGGTACATAGGATAGAATAGCAGTGTTTCTAGATGTGGGTCCTGAAGAAAACTGTTCATGGGAGAGATGCCATTAAAAAGTTGGATTTCATAGTCAAATGTATTTGGGAAAGACAGTACCCTTGAGCCTTCGTCTGGGAGTTTCACCACACAGATTGGCATATTAAGGGTAATGAAGAGTCCTGTGGCAAACAACTGTAATACATTGTTCAACTCAGCAGGTCCCCAGTTTATTTGACTGTGAATCTCCATGCCAGTAACACTTTCTAATACTGAAACTTAGTTAGGGAAATGCTTGAGACTACTCTGCATTTATCAGCTGTGTGGCGTCAGATCTAGCTACGAGACAACACTTGTTTCCCTGACCAAGAATTGTTGCTCAAAGGATTAGTGTAAAAATTAAATTAGAAATGCATCATTCAGGGGGCGCCTGGGTGGCACAGTCGGTTAAGTGTCCGACTTCATCCAGGTCACGATCTCGCGGTCCGTGGGTTCGAGCCCCGCGTCAGGCTCTGGGCTGATGGCTCAGAGCCTGGAGCCTGTTTCCGATTCTGTGTCTCCCTCTCTCTCTGCCCCTCCCCCGTTCATGCTCTGTCTCTCTCTGTCCCACAAATAAATAAAAACGTTGAAAAAAAATAAAAAAAAAAAAGAAATGCATCATTCAGATTTTGATCTGTAAATTCTATTTTATACATGTATAAGTAAATATGTAAGGAAAACATATTTTGAGAAACAAATGGGGAAAAAATATTTTGGGGTGACAATTACAATGGTCCAAAGCAGTATACCCTTTACAAAAATATTTGCTACCAGGGCCCCACCACCCAGTATGTAGGTCTTTTCATGTGGAAAATGAAATAAGAAAACAAAGTGATCACCTAAATATTTCAAGCCAAACTCTCTTTCTACAATCATATAATTTTGCCTGCTAACTTCCAGATAGTTCTAACTTGCCAAGTTTGAATACAGACATGGAGGATAAAGTGGGAGCCAAAGTCATCAGAAAAGGTATCATAAGTCTCCACTAAACTGTTTAAGTAATACTTTAATAACAAATTGAGCCTTAGAAAGATACAGTCATTTGACCATCTTTGAAACCACTAAGGAAATATCTAAAATATTATGATATAATGCACTGAAAATTCCCCCCATATCTGAGAGTTAATGTCCCCATATTTCTGAGCACCTAATATACTATGAAAAAAGACCTGAGTACTATGTACAATGGGTACACGTATCATAGCCTCCAAAAATCATTTTCCCAGACATAAAACATCTTCTAAAACAAAATTCATAGATTTCCTTTATAAGTTCAAGTATCTCCAGTAATTCGATCAAGATCCATTTATATTCATCAAGAGGATATCCTGGTACCATGGACCTGATCTACTTTTCATATTATCCATTCAAAAAATGTTTTCATTAATTTTTCAAAATTTAACTCACGTCAACCCATAAAAAGATATATTCATATTTAAATTTGAAAGCCACTGCCTGTTACATTCTTTTTAACTGAGAACCACTAAAAACATAATTATGCAAAGTTATCCCTTTCCAAAATACAGTAGGTAAAAACGTCACACAGTAACACAATCTGAGTCAATGAGAAAACAGTCAAGGACCCCTTCCTCCTAAAATGGGGGTGGAGTCTGGGGCGGGGGGGAGGCAGGTAGCCGTTAATGAATTTATTAAACACTTTGATGTTAGAATGAACTTTCTCTTCAACTCATTGCATTTTAGTTTAGTGGTCAAAAATGATCATGTTTTCAAGGAGCTCTAAAGGCAGTGCCTTACCAGTGTAGATGCTGGCATTGGAAGCTGGGATACCAAACTGTGACTCGATGAACTTGGGAATGAAGGTAATGAAAGCAGTTACAATGGCACTCTCAGCTGTGTATGACAAACTCACAAAAAGGAATGTCATGTTGCTTAAGATCCTGACAGCTGCTCTTGGTAGGTCTACAAAATGACAAAAATGACAAATGAATGTTATAAATAAGGGATGGAAAGTAAAATAAAATTGAATTGTTTTTGAAATGAACTGGAAATAGCCATTCAGCAATATTCGAGACTATTGAATAGAGAATAAAAGAAAAACTTGATGACTGATTAGAAACCAGCCCCTTTATAAACAGATTTGGGTGTTCTTTTTTTTAATTTTTCAACTAGGATAAAGAAATTTGATAAAGTAGCAAAAAACATATCCATACACAAATAACCTTATAGGAGGTATCCAACCTAGGACTTCTGTTTTAAAAACTGTTTAAAACAAATCATTTACATTTTTATTAATTAAAACAATGTTATTCTTTGTTAAGACCCAAAAATATACTACATGTGCAAAAGTACTTGCAATACAGTCCTACATTACAGTTTCCCATTCATTCACCAGGCACTTCCCCGAGAAAATGAACTTCTGAGTTGTCATGTTCCTGACCCGGCACTGCAGACACCCACAGCAGGGGAACTGGTACATGACTTTAGACATCTGATCTTCCAGCCTCATTATGAAACAGGAAATGATGCAGCTAAAGGGGCTTAAGGGACAGGTCACCAGGTCAGATACTCCAAGGGACTCTGGACTGGGGAAGGAAGAGAAATGATCTCCAAAGGACAGCCCAGAGGTGGGGGCTCAGCACCTGCTCAGGTGTCTCTCAAGGGAGAGACAGTAGTCTCATCCTCAAGTCTTGGCGTTTATTTCATAAAACTTGCCATATATATGCTCTAAGATGTATGTCCAGGTGTCTTCACTGCAGCATTATTTGTAATAGCAAAAATTTAAGGAAAAAAACTAAATGTCCATCACTGGAAAATGTTTAAATAAGTTATGGCACAGCCAAATAATGAAATACTATGTAGTAGTTAAAAAATGATGTAGGTCTAGATGTACTGGCCTAAAAGGAACTCCAAGAAGTATTTTTATTAATGAAGAAAACAAACTGCTGGAGAAATATACATATACATGTGTATGTAAATATATATACATATATTTATATGTATATATATATAAATAATATCTAAGTAAAAATCACACAAACCAAAACAACGCATTTATATGTGGTTGAATATATACTTCCCAATATATACAACACCAAGAAATTCTGTAAGTAGGAATAAGATTGGGAAAGAGGAATAAAAGGAGATGCTTGTGCATATACTTTTGTATTTTTGCATGTTTATAATGTGAATTAACTCACTTGTATGTGATCTTTATTTACATATCTTGGAATGTATCATGGAAAAGTGAAGCTGTATTGTTTCTGACATGTGCAGCATCTCAGTTATGAGAACAGTTATCTCCTTATTCTACAACATAATAAAATCATTTCATAAAAATTAAGCAAAACTTGTTATTAAAGTTATAATTCATAGGCTATTCACTAGAATTTAGAACTTAGGAAGTCAAGACTATCTGCTATTATCATTTAAAATGCAAATTAATTTTAATGTTCTATATCTTAAGTTAATTGTTTAAAGTTTCAATGAACATTTTAAAATAAAATTTAAGATGCATTCTTCACTTTTTAACATGGATAAACACACCAGAAAAAAATAATTACACTACTTCATAAAATGACCTAATATTCTCTTATAAATATGCAAATAAAAAGGTTGTATCTAAAATTTTTAAATTAGAAAATTAAGATTTTCTTTTTTTTTTTAAGAAGATTTTCTATCAACACTTGGAGATGCAAACTAAGTTTATTTGGTATATTAAAAGGCAATGTGTTTAATCTAAAACATCTGGTGAAATTGTACATTTTTAATCCAAGAAGATAACATATGCATCACGTGAATGTTTTAAGATACTAGTTATAGAAAACTGAATTTTCTTTTATACTCATTTGGTATGATAAAATAGCCCACTAATTTCAAAGCTAACTAAAAATATATGTGATGTTGGGGCGCCTGGGCGACTCAGTCGGCTAAGCATCAGACTCTTGATTTCTGCTCAGGTCACGATCTCATGGTTTGTGAGTTCGAGGCCCGCATCGGGTTCTGCGCTAACAGCATGGAGCCTCCTTGGAATTCTCTCTCTCTCCTTCTCTCTCTGCCCTTTCCCTGCTTGCTCAGTCTCTCTCTCTCAAAATAAATAAACTTTAAAAAAAGTATGTGTGACATTTCTGTCTTCTCTTTCATTAAAGAAAAAAAGTGTTATTCAAGAAGGATTTAGCAAAAGTTGACTTTCAACAACTTCAAGTTAGCTTCCTCCTTTCTTCCATGTTCCTCCTTCTGTTTATTGGAGCTAAACCTTCAACATACATGTCCCACAGGAGCAGGGGGACCAGATATCCAGGGTTATGTCTTTTGCTGCTGGGACAGGGAATTTGTTCAAATATAGGAAGAGTGGGTTAAGTAAGTACATTGAGACTAATTGCAATCAGTTTCTAATGGCCAGAGAAGGGAGTTACAAATATGGACAGGGGATAGTTACATATCAGGTTGGAACTGAAGGTAATGGTATGAATTCATGGGATGGATAGATAGATAGATAGATAGATAGATAGATAGATAGATAGTTGATAGATAAGATGATAGACAATAGATGGATAGACAGATAAAGATGTTAGATGATAGATTTGTGTATGTGTGTACATACACATATTTCCTAATTCTCTCTTCTACAGGGTTTAGAAGTAGTATAACACCCTAGGAGCAATGAGCCCATCTAGCACCAGTGCTTGGTTTTTAAAGGCCATCTTCCACTAAAAGGAACCAAAGCTCCTTGGAGAAATGTCTAACTTCAGAGCTGAGGCAGAGAAAATACAACATGAGCCTGGAAAATCTTGTTAAACAAGAAAGTAAAGTGCTCAAAGAATGATGGAGACTTGCCAGAAGGATACCAAAGACAGTTTGAAGGATCCTCAATAGGCAAACTGGAAGCAATTTGAGGTCAATGGATGCTAAAAGTGGTAAGTGAAAGTTTAATAGAAATAAGACACAGTCAGTCCTCATTATTCATAAATTTAGTATTTGCAAATTCACCCACTCACTACAATTTATTTGTAACTCCCAAATCAGTACTCGCCAGTGATGGGGTGGGGGGGTCTCATTCAAGGACATGCACAGAGTTGCAGGACACACACATTCTTGGCTAAGGCTGCATGAGGCCTCTCACTTTGCCTTCTCAGGTCAGCTTTCATGCTGCAAACAAGTGTCCTTTTCACAAGATATTGTCACATTTTTAGCATTTTTGTGCCTTTGGTGATCTCCCTTTTTCAAATGGCCTCCAAGCATAGTGCTGAAGTGCTGTCTAGTGTTCCTAAGAGGCTTTCATGTGCCTTATGGAGAAAATACATGTGTTAGATACACATCCTTCAGGCATAAGTCATAATGCTGTTGGCCACGGGCTCAATGTTAATGAATCAACAACATACAGTAAAACTTTGGATTGCGAGTAACTTGTTCTATGAGTGTTCCGCAAGACGAGCAAAGATTTTTAATAAACTTTAACTTGATAAACGAGCGATGTCTTGCAATATGCCAAACGTCACATGATCACAACTGAACCAATGGTTCTTCTCTCTCTCTCCCTCTTTCTCCCTCTCTCTCACTTGCTCACTGCAGGATTGTGGGTGATCGTCAAGGCAATGTCACATTTCTGTGAAATCCTCAAAAGGAGGCAAAAGCAAGTGTCATTGAATAGGTTTCTTGTTAAAGTTGCACAAAAAGAAAAAGATTCCATTGAACCAGTAGATAGCAGTGATTCTGTTATTGGTAATGAAAGTCATCCTACACAATAACCCTCCTCTGTCTTGTCTCCCAAGGGTAAGTGCAGGTTAATTTGTTTATTTTTCTTTATTTTTTATTATTTTGTGTTATATTACAGTATTGTCATCATTTTTACATGAATATTTTTGGGTTGTGGAATGAATCATCTGAGTTCCCATTATTTCTTGTGGGGAAATTCACTTTGATATACAAGTGCTTTGGATTACAAGCATGTTTCCGGAATGAATCCTGCATCCAAACCAACGTTTTACTTTATATTAAACAAGGTGTCTTTGAACAGAAACACACATAAACCAAGGTTATGTACTGACTGGTTGACAATTATGTTGTGACAGGAATCCACCCCTGTATTTCCCCTAGAGCAATGCTTCCGTATTCCCTGACTCTATGTTCATGTTATTTTATGAAATATAACTACCACGAATCAGACTCAACTGGATTTGCATAGTTTCAAAGTACCTCCCCACAAAATATTTACAAATTACTTATTGACTTATAACTGCAATATACTTATTAACTTTAGAGAAATCTGGTAGATACAATCTTACCCAAGAGATAAAAGTTCACTAGGAATTAGCATTATATACCTTCTGTTTTAAGACACTGAACACAGCATCATCTCAGTTGTATGCCTATCAAACCCAAATTGAGGGTCATTCTATAAAGTTATCAGCTTGTACTTTTTAAAAAGATCAAGGTCATAAAAGATAAAGATATATGAGAAACTGATCCAGATTGAGGAAGACTAAAATACACCATAACTAAATACAACATGTGATCTGTGAATTGGATTTGGACATTTATAAAGGGCATTGTTGAAATAACTGACAAAGTTCGAATAGAGCTTGTGGTCTAGGTGGTAGCACTGGATCAATGTTCAGTTCCTGATTTTGATGGCTGCCCAGTGGTCATGTAGGAGGGTGTCCTTGTATCTAGAAATCACACACTGAAGTAGTACAGGACAGCAGAGCATCATGTCCACAGTTTCTCAGATGGGTCCAAACCATTGACAATTGGAGAACTGGAGTACAGCTCCATGTGCTACTTCTGTGGCTTTTACATAAATTTAAAATAGTTTAAAAAACACGAAGTTTAAAAACATAAGCTAAATCCATACATATGCTGTCAAATACCTGATTTTTATGCTGTACAATATATTTTAGATAAGTTTATTAGTGTTGTTTATAACCGTCATCGTAAAATTAAAAATGCAGCAGTAGGGGGCG